ATAAAAACCAAACTAGAAAGCCTTATTTTCTAATGTATTATATATCCTAATAGTTACGTCGACATGACTCTTATAACCAAAACTATAGAAATCAAAATTTTAATCCTCGCTAGAAAAACTATTTAAACCTATTGTCAATACGGACTTGGTTCATTTGGCCCAATAGAATGGACAAAACTTTGTGTGAACGTAAGACCATTACGCAGTTCATTTGGCCCAACAACTCCACTTTTGCATACGTACACATGAATGGACAACGTGCTTAAACTTTAGCATACATTATTAATATAGAAGCACATGTACATATTATGGTATAGGTATTTTGATAACACCACGTGACATTGTTAAAATCGGACGAAAAATTTCTCGAATTCAATGAGAGAGGTACCATATAATTGATGAACCATCATAATTTTTTTTTTAATTTTTAGTTTAGTTGTATATGTGCTCCCGTCAAGTTTTCCACATTTGTTTTTATTTTCACATTTTATCCTTTTTATTTTCGATAGAAAATAATAATAATAAAGTTGGACTCCCATGACAATAAGGAAAACATTTCCTTTTTAAATTGGGAAAACCGAGTCGGTGTGGAAACCTATATGTATATATTAGCGTCACTCTTGCGTCTTACTCTTCACCACAACTAGCTTTTCTATTTTAGAGCGACACGCAATGGAAGCGGCCTATCACGAGCTGCATTTGGCGGAGTTGCGTGGCACACAATTAGACCACCCTGATCGTCATGAGCAATCTTCACCCAGCGTTCCAATTGAGATTGAATTCAAATACTCCATAAACCACAAGGTTTTCGACGGCGATCTATCCGAAGACGGAACCTTAACCGGCCTAATTCTTATACACCAATATGAACCTCAAGTGACAATGACAAAAGCCACAATAGAAGATGTTTGCGGTTTAGAAACCCGAAACGACGTCAAGCGTTTTATTTCAGAGAATTTGTCCTTGCTTGGAGTCGACGAGGACCCGCAGGATCAATTGGTGGAAATGATTATAGAATTCGGTTGCAAATTTCACGACTTGGATTCAAACAAGGGGGCTAAAGTACTGCGATTCAGTGCTCATATAAAAAAAGAGCATAACTGGATTCGCTCCGAGAGGGTTCCGAAAGAAAGAGAACTTGAGATGGAAGCGTTGATCAAGAAAACCCTAAAGAGGGTTAGAGTGGTGGCTGCTGATGAAGATGAACATGAAGATGAAGACGAGGAGGAGGAGGAGGAGGGTGGGAAAAGAAAAAGACGTGTAGTGCAAGAAAGTGAGGTTTGCCCTATTTGTATGGAAGAGTTTGTTGTGGGATCAGAAGATGTTGCTTCCATGCCTTGCTCGCATGTGTTTCATGGCAACTGCATAGGACGATGGCTGAAAGGGAGTCACCATAGTTGCCCTATTTGCCGTTTTAAGATGCCTTGGATCACAAGGCAATATTAGGGTCTTAAGCTACTCAAATTAGTTGTTTTAATTTGCTATTTGTAATGGTTAAGCGAAGCTTGCGTATGTTTCATATCAATTTATTAAAAATAAAAAAAAATTTGGATCGATTTTCAGAAGAAAATAAGATGTGGAGATTAACAACACCACACCACCAACCCACCCCACACCACCCCCCACCCAAAAAACAACAAATCCCTCAGACTCCCCTTCCTGGGATATCACGTGCAGTACCTCTGCCGAATCCCACCTCCTCCCATCCACCGGATCAACTCCCCCTGCAATTCCCATGTAATACAAAGTGAGGAGTAAAAACCACAACCGATGTGTGCCGGTCATTGGGATCTAAGCTACCCTAGCTGTTCTAATTTTCTTGTATGTTGTACTTGTTGCTTTCTTCTAAATTGAGAATGGAACTTGCTGGGCATGATTTTGCATTTTTCATTAACCTAACTAATAATAATTGCTGACTTAACCTACCACTCTCAGAGAAATTCTTTACTTGGGTTAACGAAATGAGGAAAAGAGAAAATCAGAGTATTTCAAATTTGTTAAACCCTAAACAAAATCATTAACAAATCAATGTTGGAAATCATTAAAATTTTCTCAACGTTTGTGGTTACTGTAAATAATAAGTGGGTGAAACAAAATAAAAAATATTGAAAAAAGAAGCAGGGTGAAAGTTTAAGGTTCATCCTTCTCCCTTCTACTATATACATTTACAAAAGCTTACTTGGTAGACCATTACTCAAATATAAGCTGTTTGATTCATATTTAAAACTCAGACAAATCCCAAATAAGAGCAAGTTTATTTGGCTTATAACTGATTTCTTTGGACTCGACTCGAGAAGCAGAGCATCAGCAGCTTCCGGAGAAACTGAATTGGACATCACTGGATGTGCTATTTTCCTCAGCTTTACCACCACCATCTTCTGCGTCATATGCTTTGTTTCCAGGTTTGACTATAGTCTCAAATGCTTTCCCAAAATGTTTGGTCTTGCAGTGCTCCAAAAATAGCTTATCCAAGATGTCCTGCATTCTCTTTATCCTTAATTGAAACCTCCTGGAAAGTTCTTTAATTGTAGAAACTTTGTTGCCAAGTACCAGCAAAAATTTCAGACAGTTGGTAAAATATAGATTCTCAATCATACACCATGATTGTAATAAGTTGCTATGCATTATTGTCTCATTTGTTAAGCCTTTGGAGTTAATGTTGTTGGCTAACATGGTCTTAGATCCTTCTTTGTAAGTGGTCTTGAGTTCGATCCTCGTTTCCCACTTTTTTGTTGGTTTGCAGGGTGCACGCATGGTGGGGATGCGCATATATGTTTGCCTCTCTACCGCTGTTTATCTGCCTCTCCACGTGCATGATGTGCCGGCACGTGAGATTGTTGGCCTATTCCTTCACAGCTTAAGCTTTTGGACAAAGGTAGCCTAACACTGATGTCTAATCAGGAGTAAGTAAAGCTATTCTAAAGCTAATCTGTTGGACACAGAAAAATAATGTAGTGTATGTTACAGATAAGACCCACCTCCCATCAAATGCAGCATAAATTTAAGTTCATCAATTGATTAAGCATGCCCAGCAATTGTCTATATAAATTTTTTTTTCTTCTCGACCAACAGAGTTCAGAAACTGTAGACCATACATCAGTCATAAGTTTCTCCACATCCAACTGAAACTAATGTCAAGAAACAAGAAAAATTCAATACAGTTGCTCATATTAGGTACTGAAACCATAATTTTTATAAATAAAAATCTAAAACAGACGGTATTTACTAATTTTAAACCTTCAAATACTTTTCTACGAAACCCTCAAATATTTCCAAGAAGCAATGAGAATCCTTTGGGAGGTTACTTCTGTCACAATGTGTGCCATCCATGGATCCAGTTTGACCTTGTGAAGCTTCAACCATCTATTGTTCTGGAAACAAATGTCTCAATATATCAACCATGCCCAGGTTGCCCTTCATGTCGACAAAAAGGGCATCTGAACAGACGAACCTTGAACAATCAATCCTAGAAGTTGCAATTACCAAAGCACTGCCGGTCTTCTTAAATGCTTTAGCTAGCACATTGACATTTTCTTTGAGTGGAAGCACATTGACATTTATACCAAGAGACTTCTGTACAGAAATAATTCTTCTAAGGGCAGCAGAGATCTCCCTTGGTAGTAGATTCTCAGTGACATATTCCCAATTCATCAGATCTAAGAGTATGTCAAAACCTATCCCGAAATTCAAATAAAGCAAACACAATGTCATAACCAATCTTTGCATTAGTAGCGAATAATACTTGTTCGAATATGTGGTAAAATTTCCAATCCACTCAATCATGGTCGCCTCATCAAATAGACACTCCCGAATAACATCAGTCAAAAACTGACGGATGACTTCAAAAGACATTCGCACATCAAAAACTTCACAGGAATTAAATCTGGTATCTTTCTCATGGTATATCAGCCATTCAATAAAGCAAGATCTTTCAGTGATCACATAACCTTGACACAGAGATACCCAAATCAGAAGGCGATCAACAAGATACAAGAAGCAACTAGGTGATATGTAGTAACGTGCACTCCTAGTTTCGTTATAAGTTTTGAACAACGCATCACCAAACGTCGACAAAAGAGACTCCACTCTTGGTTCTTGGATGTTGCCACATAGATTTTCAATGAACGCCTTCCATAGTGGATTGTACTCAATATTTTTCACAAGCGTCGCACACAGTTCATCATTCAGCTTACCAGACGCAAGAATTATTGAAGCAAGGTATCCAATTTTCCCTGAAGACAGCTCTTTGGATGAGCTCATGTATTCAACTATCACTTGTTTCAGTAAATTCTTACAAGCATCAGACCGTCGAAGAGATATAATATTCTCTCTTGATGATTTCCTCCAATCTAAAGGAAATATGTAGGAAACAAAATTATCACCCGACAACTTAACAAATTTCTGCAGTGTGTCACGATCCATCAGGCTCCGCTTCAGAAATTTAGAGTTAAGAAGATATGTCACAACCTCATATATCTGGATAAGAGACTTGCTTCTGAAGAATTTTGAATGAGATTGAGTGCTTAGGAACCTGTAAAGAGCTTCAAGTTTGCCCAAAACCTTAATGCCAAGATATAGCATTTCAGAACTCCAATAATTCTGAGCAGCTGAAACATACTTGTGAACATCAATTGAGACTAACTCCCCGTTACTTCGAAAAAATCTTTTCTCCACACCTCTAATCCAATCCACATCAGAGATGACTGAAAGATAAATCGGATTCAGATCTTCATGAAACAGCCTCCATACTCCTAAGTAATTTAGAAAGAAGTCTTCATAATTTCTGTATTCATCGGCGTCTATCGATTCGAAGTTCCCTAGATACTCAATCAAGTAAATACTTTTATCCTTCCAAGAATTCCAAAAGTACAGCAGTGAATCAGCAGAAACCTGTGTCTTATATTTTTTGCCTTCTGACTGCTGTTTACGATTATCCATCAATTTGTCTTCCCACAAAAACTTAGAGGTGCTTGAAGAAAGAAGACCATTCAAAGTTTTCTGAGCTGAAAACATTTCATCTCTGACAGTTTCCATCCTGGATCTCTCATTTTTCACAACAGAATAATGAAATGCACAAATCTCTAGAAAATCCAATTCAGTTTTAGTAGTCCCATTTCCTCGTTTACCATACTCTGCCGTTGCATGTTGTTTCCAATCTTTGATGTATTCCAGACCTCTGTCAAATAGTTTTCCTTTGGAACACATAGAAATACACTCAGAGAAATAGTTCCCCCTTGCATACGCATCTGCTGCAAGCGCATAGCATCCAGCTAGAGAAAAGCATTCCCCAGCTCTTTCCAGTTCAGGTTCTTTGCATTTATCCAAATAAATATAGCCTGCACCACCAAAAGGTTTTAAGTGATAAAAGCAGCAATTTTAAGATTTTAAGTGCAACAAAGGATAACCTGAAAGCTGTCACAAGTCACACAACACAATAGCCTTTTCACTGTAACATGAATTCTGGCAAGACAAAGACAATAGATGTTAAGATCATACCGGCTCGTTTATACTCTCCCAAATTGTAAAAGCATCTGGCAGCAGAAACAGACAGGCCGATAGCTTCAAATATTAAAGCAGCCCTCCGAAGCATGGTATTAGCCATTTCAGGATTTGAAGTGCGCATATGGTGAGCCTTAGCTTTAAGTTCAGCAGCTTCAGAAAGCCTTTTCCAGAATGTATCACCAGCTTTTTCAAAGCACATTCTGGCCATTTTGTAGTTATGATCTTGATATAGCTGCAAGAAACAAAATAAAAAGGGGAAACATTAATATTATTGAAACTAATGGTTATGATGATGATCATGACAATAGTTATTATGATCGTAAGAAAAGTTACTATATAATCATAATGATCATGATTATTATTCTAACAATGATAAGAATATCAATTGACAGTGCTATTACTCTTGTCATGATTAAGCAAACCTTAATTCCACGTGCTTTCCACTCTTGTGGACTGCTTGCAACTTGCATAGAATGTGCAAATGAATCATCAAGTTGTCTAACTTGTACAAGACATTTCTTTTTCCAATAGTCAAACATGGGATTGGAGAGCTCTTCAACATTCTCATAAATCCACAACCTCTGTCTCGTACGAGAGACTGCAACATATAACTGCTTTAATTCGTGGCATAACATGCTGTGTTTTGCATCATCAAAGCTTGGAAAACGCTCAGGTAATGCGGAATTGAGCGAATCTTGTTCCTTCATGAAATCATATATCACCCTCCATTGATTTTTCAGGGGTGATGATCCAAAAAATTTGTACAAGAGTACATCCTGCAAAAAGGGCAAATGCTAAGAATGTACCGAACATTGATTTCAAACATGACAATTTCAACTGGAATAAAAATATTAAATTTGCAGCAAATTTATTATAGAATTCAAATATCAACCACTGTCTTATATGAAGATATAGCTGGTGGTAGATGTAGCAAGACAAAAAATTTGAATGAAAAAAACAAAAACAGAAGAACGTTTACCTGGCAGAAGTAACTGAGGATCGAACACATCAAAATATATTAAATGAAAAATTTTCAGTGATAATAACTTATGTAAGATTATTAAACAAATCAAAGAAACAAACACTGTAGTGACCTGAAACTCTAGGCCCTTGCAGTCCATTATAGTAAGAACAAGTGCTTGCTTCCGTATGGAGTTGGAGACTTCCTTCCATGCACTAGCGTCACGTACCAAAATAACCTGCTCTGCCCCGAAACCAATTGTGTTCCCAGTAACAAATACACTATTTCCAAAAATTGTTTCAAATACATTTTCATTTTCTCCAGAGTAAATTAAAATTGGAGCTTCCCCATATACTGGAATTGTTTCTGGTTTCAACTTATCAATTGAGTGGGGAAAAAAATGATAAAGTAGTTCAACAATGCTCTGCAATAGCTTCAGTATACCATCATGGCTTCGGAAGTTTTCTGTCAAATGAAAAATTTCTGAGATTTTCTCATTGTCCATTTGTTCTTTATGCTTCTTTCTTCTTGAATCCAATACAAACTTGTTGTAGAACAGATGTCGTATATCTTGGAATCTAAAATGAATCCCCCTTGCAATGGTTTGCGCTGTATCACCAGAAAAAACAAAGCCCTCTTCAACATTACTGCAGATATATTTGAACAGTGCAATTTGGCTCATGGCAAGATCCTGAACCTCATCAATGTACACAAAATCAATATCATCACCCTCATATTTTTCACGTTTAAAACGGCGGTGAATATCATTCACAAAATCAGCAATATCAAATTCACCATTCCTTCTCTTCATTTTTTCATAAACCTGAAATATATCATATATTATATCTCTCTTCTCTTTGTCTAGGTCGGAAGCCTTTCCCTCTGACATTTGCGCATACTCCTGCCGGCTGAGTTTTCCATCACATGCTTCCATAGCACCCAGACCACCTTTTATTTGAGAAATAATCTCAGTAAAGACTCTTGAAGCATCAAGCTTCTTTGTTAACTGGATATTAAAACGAGGCCAATATGATGAACTAAATCTCTCATAATTGACCTCCTTCGTGCTTAGAAAGTTCTGCAGCAAAACTGATCTTGAACTTTGCAGTCTGTTCTGAGGAAGTTCAGTGATGTCAAGGAATCTTTCAAAGTAAGAATTACCCAAACTTCCATCAAGCATCATCAAGAATTTACGAAATGTTAAGCAAAGAGGATAGCATTTGGGCGGAATATTAAGAAAAGAATCAGGGATACCCCTGAATTGTGCTTCCTCATCATCAAAATCATCCATATCAATCAAACTGCATTGACCTGAAGGGCTTCCACCACAAGCGAAACTGTGAACATAAAAAAGTTGATGAAGTTGACATTTACAATTGAAACGAATATATATATATATAGCCATATATCAAATTCATTCTCAATCATATGTACCAGAACTTGAACCAATAAATTAACAATTAGATTTCTACACATAAATTTACGATTTCAAGAACATGTCCCCAGGTACTATGCCAGTATTCAAACAACTAGCAAGTCAATCAAGAACATATATATGGTGCATTCTGACTAAAGGGTCACAGTAAATAGATTTCTGAAGAAATAAAAACTATTTTTAAAGAAATAAAAAGGTAGCAAACATCATTATTCGAATAATCCGCTCACCTTTTCAATCGTGAAATATGTTGCTTGACAGAAAAACAGAGTTTAGGACTGACAGTCACAAAAAGCTGGCGCAAAGCAGTCACATTAGTAGATGAAGAAGAAGAAATCTGCTCAGCCTCATTATTCGGACTAACATGTCTGAATGTATTGCTCCCAACACCGTAGAATCCCTCTTCTGCTGCCCTATGGTGCTTCTGTTCTCTCTGATATAACTTCATGGTCAATACTGTCGTCTTCCCAGTACCTGACCGTCCTAAAATAAATGTACTTCTATTGTAAAGGATGGTCTCCATTTCTTGGTCAGTAACTTCAAACGGGAGATCCAATTCTCTGCCCTCATGGTCGGAAAGCAAGACATTCATTACCCCAGAAGATGACAAGGAGTAGAATTTCATCAGCAACAGACTGTCGCGGACCTTGCAACGCTCAACATAACTTGTATTTCCAGAAGAGTGACCAACAAAATCATTCGGGATTTCCGTGATGCTAACATCTTTGAATCGAGGAACATCCAAAGAGGGTGGCCAACTTGCTGGAACTTCCACATCACTGTTCACAATACAAACCAGTAAAAGTCAGCACTCTTTTATTTGAAAAAACTGATCAAACATTTGTTACATGAGTCCAAGGAAGCGTAGTGTAAAGCTCTGGCAACATCAATTCATAAAAATATATAATAGAGGCAAAACAGCATACCCCTCAAGACATCTCTCCCTGCAGAGATTGATAAAACCATCTGTATATCTTTTAAATATAGAGTCTAATCGGTCCACCAATTTTTCAATACCCTGTAGATCAGGCAATATGTCCCAGATTTTTAACACTTGAACGTATCTTGAATTTTTTACTATGTCTGTTGTGCTGAGAATGTATAGCCCTTCAACCTTAAATTTCCTTAAAATCATGGAAGAGCTTCTACAAACTATCTCTACATTTTGTCTCCTGGGTCTCCAGCCACTCGAAATCCTAAGTAGAAGACTCAGTACTGACATCTTCAATTGGAATGACTTCAGTTCTTTGAACGATTTCAAAAAGTTATCACTGAATACCACCTAAGAAAATTTGGGAAAAAATATTGACAAGTGTCACAGCTCAAATTTTTTAGTGAAATAGAGGGGGGAAAGAAAAAACTGTCATGCTGATAAACCAAAAATTGTACCTTCCATGTTGCACTTCCAGACATGTGCATCGCCTTCCATATTCGTATGTAAGGAGCTATGTTTAATAAGAAAACCATAAAGAGTGATGTATGAATGCTATGGTTGACTTCAAACTCTTTCGACGCTTTGACTTTAAAATGAAGAGCAGTTCTATCATCCTCGTTCTTATTTTTGGAGACCTCAGTGACTACTAGTAAGGCCCAAGAGCTCCCTAACTTCTGTAAATCAGAAACAGTTTCGGGTCTAGTATCTGCTAAAACAAAAACATCTCCAGGCAGAATTTTGTATGGTCCTTTGCTGCAATCGGTGGACAGGTTTCTCCAGCAATCAACCTTGATATCATATAGCTTTGTTCCATATGGATTCAACTCTTCAACAGAAATTATCTTACTATATGGCGCTCTGTCCATAGTTTCCATACTTGAACGCAGTTGAGTCCGAGTTTCGTCCAACAAAGGATATGAATAAGACCCGAAATGATCCTGAACCGACTGAAATGATTCAGGAATCTTTTCCACCTAAAGATTACAAGGTCATCAACCATTAACATTACTTTTTTTAAGATAAAAAAGGCAATTAGCATCACTTGTTTGATCAATGGAGTTCACAAAATTGTACTTATCATGGTACAAACTAAAGGCTCTAATCAATCCATGCTGAATAATGGCCAGACAGAACAATGGAATTGAGAAGCCTAGCTAGTATAGTGACACAACTTGATTCTCTGTCAAATTTATTAATTCATCAATTACATATAATCAATCAAATAATTGGTTTCAGACTTCATTTTTAAGGACATGCATGCATAATACGAAGCAAAAAAATCTCTTCAAATTTTAAGAAACAAGACAGAGAACAGGTTACAATAAGGATAGGGCAAAAGTTCGATTTGCTTCCATTGCAACGAAAGAAAAAAAACAAAGAGAAAGATGACAATGGAAGATAAACATGGGAACTAATTAAATACCTTGTGCTGGTAAAGATTTTCATTAAGAATGTCTTGGAGAGACCAAGAAAACAGAATGTCAGTCAAGCTCTCAGAGCCTTCCATCATGTCCTCACACTTTGTTCTCTTCTTAACTGATATGGTGAAGTTGAAACACAATTATTTCTGCATGCATTAATCTAAGAAGATTAAGAAGGCAATTCCATTTTCACTAATCAAAATGGTAATTAAACAGAGACCTTAACCAATATTTTTTTTTTTTAAAGGACCTCTTTTTAAACTTGTTCCGAAAGAGTACTGATAAAAATCAAAGAAATGTTCTTACATGGATCGACGCTATGGAGCTTCTTCTTTTTTCCTTTGTTCTTTTGTTCTTTGCCTGTGACACTACTTCTTGCTCGAGTTTTTGTTCGACTTGAGTGTTGAAGTACGTGAAGAAGTGGGAAAGGCAAAAATACGTGGAGAAGGTGAAGGGGTTGGGTTTTGGTACGAGATTACTTAGCCATGTCATGCGACTGCTGTCCCAAATATTTATGCTTTATGTTCTCTGCTTTGCTTTCTGCTTTCTGCTTTATTGGCATATTTACTAATCCGTAATTGGGCGAGGAGGAACTGAATTGATGAGAAATTAGAATTTGGATTCTCATTAAAGTTGTTTACTAAACTCTCACAATGGTATTGATTCCCTATATTCTTTACTAAATTCCCCTGAATCAAAATTGAAATCAGTTTTATTATTAAAATGCTCTTGTTTTAAATAAATTATTTTATATGCAAATTTTTGTTGGGTAGTGGAAGAGAAATTTGGAATTTTAAAAATTATGTGAGCGATATAATAGGTAAATTCTTGATGAGTTAGAGCATCTCCAACAGATGTGTCAAATTGCCATATGGACATGAAATGACAAAAATTGAATGTTAAAATTGCTCCAACTCAGTAGTCAAGTCCTACATAGATTTGAAAGTTGGAAGAGATATGTCAAAAATAACATATCAAAAAGCTTCATGTCAAATATTATTTTAATATATTTTTAGTCATGGACCCAACTATCATTCACTCTCTTTTAAAACTTTATACATCATATGGGCCCCATTTGTTTTTAAAAATATAATAAAATAATATGATATTTGGCATTTCAGGTGGAGTTAATTTTTTTCCAAATTGTCAAATTGTCACATAAACAATCAAATTCAAATTTAACATTTTGCATTTGACATCTCCCTTGAGATGCTCTTAGTTCTCTATTAATTAGAATATCACCTCCATCCAAGAGTCTCATTCGTCCAAAATCAGGAGTTCAATTCCTGATTTTGTGTGGACTACACTTACATTTCATTCCTTTATGTGAAGTAAATGCATGAGTAATCCGTAATCGGAATTAAAATAAAGAGTTGGATTCCGATTACGGATTAGTATGCTTTATGCTTTATGCTTTATACTTTATACGTGGAGAAGAAGTGGAAGAAGCATATGGTTTTTCCAAATTTCAACCACATAGCATTTATTTGTTCACTAGCATGTATAACCTTTTTTCACATCAACGTTTACTTTTTCAATATATATGTTATGCTTGTCAATGGCTCATTAGCATAGTGGTAAGGAGTATAGAAATGTTCTTTTTCTTTTTCTTTTGTTCTTTTGTTCTTTACATGTGACACTACTTCTTGCTCAAGTTTTTCTTCAACTTCAGTGTTGAAGCACATTTTCAATCCTCCAACCCAAGTGTTTCATTCCTTCAAAATCAGGAGTTCAATTCTTGATTTCATATGGACTCCACTTACATTTTTATTCTCTTATGTGAAGTAAATGCATGAGTAAAAAGCATATCTGCTTTATACGTGAACAAGTAAAAGTGGAAGAAGCATATGATACTTCCAAATCTCAACCACATAGCAATTATTTTTCACTGGCTTGTATAACATTTTTCTCACTTCAACATTTACTTTTTCAATATATATGTTATGCTTGTGAGTGGCCCACTAGTGTGGTGGTAAAGAGCATAGCCTCCACCCAGCTTTTCTTGGGTTCAAGCCAAGAACAGGTTCTTGTGCCATGCCATCAAGTTGCTCAAAGCTACCATTGACTCCGCCGTTGCATATGAAAATCAAGATCACGTGTCATTTAACCTTCACTTTAATTCTTACTAGTTATCTTCTTCATCTCTTGATTTAAATTATACGCTTAATTTTTCAGATGTAATCACAATAAGAAAAAGGGAAAAATAGTGGATTTACCATTAGAAATTGCAGGTTCATTTTACTATTCTGAGGAGACCATTGTTAGATGTACATCAAAGAAAATACAGAGGTCCTTAAACCCCTTCTTCTCTCTTCCTTATTGAAGTTTATGTCGTTTTTGTTCTTGGTACT